ACAACAGCAGCTCCAACAACAGCAGCTCCAACAACAGCAGCTCCCACAACAGCCGCTCCAACAACAGCCGCTCCAACAACAGCAGCTCCCACAACAGCTGCTCCCACAACAGCAGCTCCCACAACAGCAGCTCCAACAACAGCCGCTCCAACAACAGCCGCTCCCACAACAGCAGCTCCAACAACAGCAGCTCCCACAACAGCCGCTCCCACAACAGCAGCTCCAACAACAGCAGCTCCCACAACAGCCAATAATACAGATCCATGTAATGGACAGCAATTTGGGCACTTTCCTGACAGTACTGACCCAACCTATTTTTTCAACTGTGTCTTTGGGGAAGGCATCAGGCAAAAATGCCCAGCAGGGTTGACTTTTCAAGAATCTTGCGGCACATGTTGTCGCTAGAGAGTTGCAAATGATCATTTTACAGTCCATAAGAGTCAATGTTTATTCTTATTAAGAAAAGGGGGGCATTGTCCAAACCTCTAATATGTACAATTTCTTGTCTAAGTATGTTCTTGGTTTGTTTGTTTGTTTGTTTGTTTGTTTGTGTGTTTGTTTGTGCATCATTTGATTTGACATGCATTACTTAATATATGGTTGAGACATATGTAACTGTCGGTGTATTTAACTTCATTGTATGGGTGTGTTCTTATTTATATTTAGTTGAATATCACTTGAGGAAACATCAAAAGTTGCGGATTCAATTAACTCTTTCTGAGAAACTGTCTCATTCATTCATCTCAAACAGGTTAATGAACTTTTTGCACAATTACCAGAAGAATCAATGGAGAGGCTCCAGCTCATTTAAATCACAGCATCCAGAGTCCTTATTCATACACACAAAGACAGTGTTTAAATCACTTCTCTGTCTCTGAGTGCAATACAGAATATTTTAAAATTCTATTTATAAATCTATCAGGCTCTTAATGGTTTCTGCTGTGCTCAGACGAGAACCATTAATATCATGTTTTTCTGACTTTATCTAAAACAGGATCCAGTTCTGATGAGACACTTTAAATTACTTTGGTTCTGCTTTCTAAATAAAAAGGCTTGATGACTTCAGATGTCTGTGTTTGTGTTTGTAGTTTTGTTTCTGTTTTGGCAAAATTAGGGGTTAATTAATTGGTTTTCCCTTATATAATTTTTGTCTTTCATTTTGTGAGCACTGAATTTACTTTACTTTACTTTAATATGTTTTACATGTTCTGATGGTAAATCTATTTTAGTATGAAGCACAATGCATATACTTGTGAAATAAATGTTCCGTAAATACATCATGTGTGATGAACGCTTCCATCAGGAAACATGACTAAATCTAAGATTAACATAGTAACATTTCATCAAACTATTCTTTATTATTTTATTACATGACTCCTATAAAATTGCACCAAAAACAGACAGTTTGTACCAGATCTTGTAAAAAAAAACACTAAATGGGCTAATGCGCTCCAACATGCATGCCAATATGGAAAAAACAAGGCTTTTTTCAACTGCCAGATTTTGTTTTCAACTACTACCTTTCAAAGATCCAAGGCTAAGTTTAATAAGTGCACTAGAGTAGGTAAATCTATATATCTCCAACTTTACAAGCAACCAATTGAATAAGTGCAAAAGACACAAAACAGTACCACTACAGCAGAGTATGAAAGAGTGAAAAACAGTGAAAAACCCCTCACCTTCCCCCAATACAAAAAAAAAAATAAATAAAAATCCTCCTTTGTGTACTCTGTAACACGGCAGTCCAGGGGAACACAAATGAAATACAGTTCACACTGAACATGTTGCTGGACCCGACAGCTAATGTTACATGAGTCACTTGCATTTAGCTAAAGAATGTAATTAGTCTAATTGTTGCAGTTTTTCTTCTACATTCTAAATGGGGAATTGTCTAATGTGAGACTAAAATGACACATTAAATAATATATTTTAAGTATTTATAAACACAAATACAAGCTCTTAAAGTATTTTGTTACGAATTACATAATATTTGTTTCTGCTCAAGAAAATACATATAGCAAAATACTTGAGTATTTATTTGCATATTTTAAATACATTTAATTGAAATACTGTCCATCTCAGGTTGTAGCCGGGCTTTATAGTTGCAACCATCATTTGGTGGCCACAGTCTTTGCCCATTGCCTTTTTTCAATTTGGTGTATTTAAATATTTCTGCATACTGGGGGCCCTAAACAGTCTTAGAATTATATAACACACAATTTGCAACACCCCTAACAATATTTCAGATCTGCACACATATTGACTCTGGCTGCACTGGGCAGCTCCTCCAGTGACAGACTGCCTGAGCCACAGTGTTTGAAGGAGAGATACTGCAGGTCCTTCCTTCCTGCTGCTGTCAGACAACACAACCAACACTACTCCCAGTAGACCACACATATGATAACTACTGACAATCAATCATCACTCATGTGCAATATCAACTGTGCAATATCTACACATTATACATCCAATAATGTTAATTCTGCCAGTCAGCTTGTCTATTTATTATGTATGTTATGTATGTGTTCATGAATTCAGTCTGACGCCAAAATGAGAGCCCTGGGGCATCGGTGGCTTAGTGGTAGAGCAGGTCCCCCATGTACAAGGCTGTTGCCGCAGCGGCCCAGGTTCGAATCCAGCCTATGGCCCTCTTCTGCATGCCATCCCCCCTCTCTCAATCCCCCCCCTCATGCTTACCTGCCCTGTCCATTAAAGGCAAAATGGCTCAAAAAAATCTCTTTAAAATGAGAGCCCTGTTGGTCAAAGGAATGGAGTGTTATATTTCTATAACACATTCACTCCTCTCGACGCACTGCTGCTCCATCTCCCCAGACAGAATGCCCAGAGGCACTCCAAGAGTGCGGTGCTCTCGTCATACTGTACATTAACAATTAAAGGGTCTATACACTTCTGTTTTCAGATTAAATGTACAGATTGCATACAGTCTCTTTCAAAATAAAAGTACCATGTCAGTACAACACCACAAATTGACAATTTCTTCCCTCAACAACAAACACACATGGTTACGTTCAGGAGAGAGAGGCACGTGGTTAGGTTGAGAAAAAAATAACAGGGTTTGGCTTTATATTGATACGGGAAGCAAACACCGGCCTCCCGGCTGAAAGTCGATGATTGTTGGAATCATCTATCATCACTCCCACCCACACACCCACCCACCCTCCTCTGACTTTTTAATCCATAAACTTACATTGTTACTAAGCTGGTTTAAATCTTATTTATCTGATCGTTTTCAGTTTGTTGACGTTCATAATGAATCATCCTTACGTACTAAAGTTTGTTTTGGAGTTCCTCAAGGTTCTGTTCTCTGACCAATCCTATTTATTCTATATATACTTCCTTTAGGTAACATCATTAGAAATCACTCTATAAATTTCCATTGTTATGCGGATGATACTCTGTTGTATTTATCAATGAAGCCAGAAGAAAGTAATCAATTAACTAAACTCCATAACTGCCTTAAAGACATAAAAACTTGGATGAGCACCAATTTCCTGATGTTAAATTCAGACAAAACTGAAGTTATTGTTCTTGGCCCCAAACAACTCAGAGACTCTTTATCTGATGACATAGTTTCTCTAGATGGCATTGCTCTGGCCTCTA